CACTAACCTCTCTTCTTGGATGCACCCTGCTTGGTACGCATCCAATTTCCAATACACTCAACCTTTTTGGGTGATGAACCTTCGGCGCAGCTTGTGTCTATACAGGTGCCGGAAGCTAATTCCACAGTGCAGTGGACTTCTACACTGTGATCTTGTGCAGTCTTATTAACGACCGTACCACAAGTGAGACAATCACACTCACTCGTAGTACATTCACACGCTTGTGGATGCTCCAAGACGTTCATCAAATGGCCATCTGATGAACAAACAACAGGCATATTCATGAATCGATGCTACCAGCTGATCCATAGCTTGTATCTTTCTAAGCCATGGCAGACCGAGGATGACATCATATCTGTCATCCAAATCCAGTACGATGAATTCATCGTCGTACCGCTTTCCTTCTAGCGTGTAGTGGGTTCCCGCTACACATTTATTCACTGTTAGGGATGCGCCTGTTGCAAGGCACACCGTCTTCCTCGTTGGAGGGACATCTCGCTCAACATAGTGATCCTGCTATCTTCTAGCGACTGGCGTCTCGTAAGACTGCACAATGCCCTACAGTCAACTAGGACACGGAATGGTATTCCACTTGTCACTTCCATCTTTGAAATAATGAGGTACGCTTCATCACTAGGGGCAGTAGCAAACAGTGACTATGTGTTGGGAGCAATCTTCGTCAAGATTCCTGCAAATTCTCTTGAAGTTACTGGATCAGCAGGGTGCTTCGCCCCTACTGACCCTGACCGTTTTTACGGTCCGACTTGCTGTCGTAATTTAGCAGCATGGTCGGACCCGCGCCTTGGACCTTTTTTGGCCAGCGAATGTCATCACGTCCTGTCCTTGGACGTGATGCGGTGCTTGGGACACTACACTCATGAGCGTAGTGTCCAATCTTCTGACAGCAATTGCATCTTGCCGTTCTCTTGAGACTCAGAGAGCGAGAGTTATTGTTCTCGATGTAACAGAGGTTCATTGGTTCGGGACCTCCGGTTTACTGTCGTCTCGTCGGACGATAGTTTGACGAGTTATCTTGAGACTGTCTCAGGCTGAAGTCTTCTTGTTCCGAGTACGCTATCGCCTTTTTCAGCGTATGGAAGTCCTCTTGGAACATGTAGGACTCTTCCGGTCCATCTACTCGGCCGTAGATGAACACGTTGGTGATCGTGTGCTCATCAACAGGGTATTCCGTGACGCTACTCGCAAGGTATAGTAGGTGTTTTGCATAAGCGTGCACATCACGCTTACCTTGATTAAGCCTCAGGAGTGCAGAGCATACTCTGAACTCGGCTCTTGGCATCTCAAACGTTTCTTTGAGACGATGCTTCAAGATCTCTAATGCCTCAAACACGTCTGGGTCATGAAGCTTGATCTCTAAGGCCCAAATTTTTGCTCGTTCTGTCAAATTTGACAGGGCAAAGGTGACTTGCATCTCGTCACCCTCGATGTGACTGGCTATTATGGCGTCGCCGAACTCGAAGAACCATCTCAAAGGGAATTTTCATCGGTTCCATTGTACCTTGAGATATCTATCTTCAAGATTTTGGGTCGACGCGTGAGCATCGGCCCGCCCATCGACTAGTGAGAGCCTTGCTGATGAAGCAAGGCTATCTTCTGTCTTTCGACAGCAAGTTCCCATTGTAGGAACTTGTTGATATCGGCATGTTACTGGTCTCTGTTTAGAGACTCCAATATGCCAATATTGGCAGGTTTGCTCATGAAAAAACTTGTGCTACCGACTACCTCCCATTCAGAGTCAATCACATGAGAGTAGCCTTCACGTGTGATGTGAAAGCTTTCGTCTATAGCTTCCAGCATGTTCATATGGGACGGACACTAAGTAGTCGTTGGACGGGCTACAAAGTGCTACCAGGTGTACTGGGCAACCTTTCTTTGGGTTGCCGCAAAACTTCACGTACACTCGTACATACAGAGGAAGGTAAATCTACTCAAACCACTAGTTGAGTAAAGGTAAACTAAAATCGAACTGTATTTAATGAAGCTAAGCTATCCGTATAACTTCAGTGTTTATGTAACTACGTTAATCGACATTGTCGTATGACAAAAACCTGCTCACCACCCATTGCGCGCGTCTAGCAGCAATGGTGGTAATCTTGGTTGGTATGTCTTTTATCAATTAGTTTTTGAGCATCACATGAATATTTTAGAAAGGGATAAATTCCTTCAATATTAACTATCTCGGGTAGTATTGACAAGAAGATTGTCACACTAGACAATCTCCCTATTGACACCGTTTGGTGTCAATAACAAGTAACGGGCTACCCCGTTACACTATTATCCGCCTAGAACGATACGACAGGGGTCAACTGTCAGAAATGCACCACATTACTGCGAGCGATAGTCGTGTGATACATTTAAGTTCTTAGAGATAGGCCTTGCGTTCTTGCACCCATTACTCTGCTTGTAACTGATTACAATACGCGGCACGCGAGCTAAGATTTGTGAATAATAGCAAAGGATTTTACTGTTTTTTCATTTCATTACACATCTGTAAGTTGACAATTTGTCACGACTGTCGATCCGTTTGTCGTACTCGACTTGATCTATCAAAATTGTGAAAGTTAAACAAGTGATTTACGAGGCTTCTGCAATAAAATTTCGTCTTGTGGGTCAATGTGTCCTTATAAGTCGCTTCTCAGTGTTGCACGCGGGCCATGAGCCGCCATTGCTACTGTCTCATGATCGCGTAAAGCGAAGACAGCAATCACGCCGGCACAACGCTCAAGGAATATTTGTGGAAAGGACTGAGAAACTTGACATCCCCGCTAATTTCTAATCGAATGTTGAGAAACGAAGTGGATTCGAGTTAAATCTCAGCCGCAATTCCTCGGGACAAATCTGATCGAGTAGCGGAGCTACACAGCTCTATAAGTCAGAGGGATAATCACTGCTCAAAGAGCGTTTTACATCTAAAGAACTAGACTCTATGAGACAACAAGCGTATGCCTTAAATTCCTGTTTCAGGTTACCAAACGAATCATTGAACTATGGCACTCTATCACCTAGTGCTTTAGAGTAGCTACCTCAAGGAGGTGCTACTAATCCTTAACGATCAACGATCATATAAGTTTCTCAAGGTGCGTGCCTCGGACAAGATCAAGAGAGGAACCATACTTTACTCAGGTTTAACGCTATAGAATATATCTTTTCTTACGTTACCTAATCTAGGCACACAGTTTTTAAACACATCACTAAATACTAATCTATCTTGTGGCTGACACCCGTCAGCTCCTATAATCCGGTAGAATAACATATATGTATATCGGCGTTATAGAACATGTGGACATTATCTCGTGTATCTAAGACACGGGGTAACAAGTACCTTAACATTTGTAAACCTATAATAATTGCATCAGCTAAGGAAAGGGTATAACAGGTGCTTGCTTTGTGGTTCACCTGGGCCGACGATGCAGTAGTAAAATTGCGAAGGAGTAATTGATTCTAGCAGCAACCGGCCAAAAAGTACGCAATATGTGTGTAGCGAGAGGCTTGACGGCAGAAACTGACACACTAGCCTGAAGTGAGTCGCTCTACCAGGATAAAAGTCCCGAATACCGGAACCGATCGCAATCTCAGCACCACTTCAGCACGGAATTCTTATAATCCCGCTTTTGATAGTTGTGCGACCTAATTGTATGAGTCATCAGGTGCCAAGAGTAAAATTAGCATTGTACAAATAATATCATTTCACTCTGAAGTCCGGCTAAATGGCAGCGATCTGAGGCTCGAATTATGGTGCCGCTGAGCTGTTACTGCCATTTCAACCATTAGGTCGCGATGAAAATTTACCTGGGAAGATGTGATTAATCCTTTGATAGTATTAAAAAATTGACGACTGCGACCACAGTGCACATCACCCTTCCAAATGACACACACAACAGAAGATCTATTTCCTGTTACTTAGCTGACGCTGCAGCTCAGAGCTCGTTGTGTCATTGTCTCATTTAAGTAAACTTCAATGCACAGGAGATCGAAGACTTCGTTCATACCAAACAGGTAGCACATTTGAATGTACTTTGTTACCTCACTCAGATCAGCAAACCTGTACACGACCATGTCCGATGATCTATAATGGTAATCGATTGGCGGCGCTGACGGCTAATTTGCTGCTGCTATTTAATAGCATTGCACTTGTTACCTTATGGGCGGACTGTGCTAGACGCTTGCTGTAACGGGGTGAATCGTTGCATAACAATTTATAAGAAATTGATAACAGAATATAACTATAAGAGTTATATTCTCAGAATATTGCCATAAGGACAAATATTCTGCAGCACTTACAAGTAGTTCCTGATTGGTTGATATAGGCCATTATATCAACCAACGAAGACGCGCCACGACAGACGCACGCAATGAGTGGTGAGCAGATAGTTGATATACACATTTGTATCTAGACATAATTAGATGAGGATAAAAAGTGATATATTTACAGACATTAACTATGATAAATACAGTTCTACTTTTTACTTTAACCAAGTACTCGCTTCTTCTTACCGTCTTCCTCTGCACGTACGAGTGTACGTGAAGTTACGAGGCACCGCCTTATTCTGTCATCAGAATAAGTAGCTTGTACTGTCACCAGTACAAGCTTCAGGGTGCCCCGTTACACCTGGTAGCACTTCGTAGTCCGTCCAAGGACCACGTTCACATCTAACATGAATATGTTGGATGATGAAGATGACCAAAGCTTTCGCGCTGCGTGTGACGGCTACTCCCATTTGAGCGATGTCGAATGGGATGCAGTTGAACGGGTGGGTTCAACCATGGACATCCATGCTGTTAGCGTCATGCTAGAGGCTCACAATAGAGATGCCCAACATGCTACTATCGCCAAGTTCATTCAAAATGAACTTGACGCGGAACGCGAGAGAGTAGCCTTGCTTCACCAACAATGTTCTCAACAAGCAGAGTTGTTGAGAGAACAGGGTGTTCAACAGTTTGAACTGTTGAGATAGCAGCAGGCTGCTGCTGGTGGGTCGATGCACTCGCGTCGACCCGAGACTTTGAAGATTGACATCTCTAAGTCTAGGGGAGTCGAAGAGGACTCCCTCTTGAGATGGTTCGTCGAATTGGATGACGCCATAAGGGCGCGTCGCATCGACGAAGGGGAAATGCAAGTTGCATTTGCCCAGTCAAATCTGGAAGGACGTGCCAAGACTTGGGCACTGGGGCTCAAGTTGCACGACCCATATGCGTTTGGGTCGTTGGAAGTCTTCAAGTCGCGGCTCAGACAAACGTTTGAACCGCCTAGAGCTGAGTTCAGAGCTCGAACTGAACTCTTGAAGCTCAAGCAGGGTAAACGTGATGTGCACGATTACGCGCAACATATACGACATCTTACGAGTTGTATAAGTTCCAATCCGGTGGATGAACACACGTTGGTTTCGGTGTTCATGCAGGGTCTTGCGGATGGTCCCGTCAAGACTCACCTGTTCCGACTTGAACTAGATTCACTAGAACAAGCCATTTCCATTGCGGAACAGGAAGACTTCAGTCTGAGACAGGCTTGCGCAAGCTCGACATCATATCGTCAACCGAGACGATATGACAGCGGAGGTCCAGAGCCGATGGAACTCTGTTATGTAGAGAGCGAGAAGGCTCTCTCTACAGACTACAAGAAGTTGCAGAAATGCAACAGATGCCAGAAGACAGGACACTACGCTTACGAGTGTAGTGCCCCTCATCCAGTGTCTCGCAACACTGGGCGTAGTGACCGTCCACCCACGAGAAAGGGGCAGGGACGCGGGTCCGCTGTTGGTGCATAGACGCAACAACGGGATGGACCGTCAAAAAACGGACAGGGTCAGTAGGTGCGGAGCACCCTACTGGTCCAGCAACGTTAAGAGAATTTGTGGGCCTCTTGATGAAGGTTGCTCTTAACACACAAACGTTGTGCGTTGCTGCTCTAGGTAATGAGATCTCTCTCATTACCTTGAAACTCGAAGTGACAAATAAGTTGTCCCTTCGAGCTCTAGTCGATTGTGGGGCGTCCAACAATTTTGTGCAGCGCCAATCGCTAGAAGATGGTCACTTTAAGTTCAGTGAATGTGACACACCTCCTACGAGGATGACGGTACGTCTTGCGACAGGCGCATCCGTAACCGACATGAAGCGTATAGTGAAGATCCACTATACGCTAGAAGATACCCAATATGACGATGACTTTGTCGTATTGGATTTGGATGACAAATTTGATGTCATCCTTGGAATACCGTGGCTCAGAAGGTACGAAACACGGGTAAACTGGCAACATCGAACAGTAACGATGCCTGCCGCTTGTTCATCAGATGGCCATCTGACAAACGTTTAGGAGCGTCCACAAGCGTGTGAATGTACTACGAGTGAATGCGATGGCCTCACTTGTGGTACGGTCGTTAGTACGACTGCACAAAACCTTAGTGTACCAAACGGTTACACTTCGGAGCAAAGTCCCGGCGGCTGTGGGGAAACACAGGCTGCGCCGAAGGTCCACCACTCGAATAAGTCGAGTGGACCGGGACAAAGATGTATCCCTTGCAGGGAACATCTAGAAGAGAAACAATCGATCGCTCAGGTTAAGCGAAACGATAATCCTAGATCGACTGGAGAGTCTTTCGTAGAGGATCTCGCTGTGGTTGCGCAACCCCAGCTAGAGGAAGTTAAGGGAATAAGTCCCGATATTACAAACACGGCTGAAATAAGTTCCCCGAAACCCGAGGGAATAAGTTCCCGGGAAGCCGAAGGAATAAGTTCTTCGAGGCCTGATGGAACAAGTCCCCAGGAAATGACAGAGACATAGAATGTCATAGTCAATAACGGATCAAGTGTAGGCGCTTATACACTTGATCTGATTGCGCCTCCGAAGTTGACTTCGGAGATCACTCAGTTGCCAACGCTCGAGCATAAAAGGTTCTTGCGTGATCTGCGTAGTGGCAAATTCAAGCAGATCTGCGTACTCGTCGCTGACGACGAGTGTGTAGCCGACATAAGGTCAGCAACAGTGTTTACTGAGAGCGAGAGAGTTCTCAGTAGTTTATCTATGGACGAGAGTTTCCTAGATGAAAAGACACGAGTTGGGCGATATGACTCCCAATCGTGGGAATCGCTCAAGACAAATCCTCTCTATGAAGATTCGGTTAAATTCAAAGATGTATTCCCTGAAACTGTTCCGTGCGAATTACCGAAGGATAAAGATATTCGACACGAGGTCGAGCTTAAACCAGGCTCGAAGAACTGTGTCATGAAGCAGTGGCCACTGCCTCGTGAACAAGTACTTGCGATCGACAAGTTCTTTGCCGATCGTTTAGCTGCGGGCCATGTGAGGGAATCAACTTCCCCACATAGCTCTCCGACCTTCTGTGTTCGAAAAGCAACAGGATGTTGGCGGATAGTGCATGCATTTAACAAGTTGAGTGCTGCAACGGTACCGGCTCGGACGCCGATACCAAGGAAGGACGTAATCATTGATGGTATGTCAAAGAGTACCATCTTTTCGTCCATGGATTTGATAAATGGCTTCTATCAAATCCTTACTCGAGAACGGTATACACCCTATACCGCAGTGAGCACGCCTAGCGGCATGCTCTGGGAATGGCTAGTAACGCCACAAGGGCTTAGTAATACCCCTGCCACGTTCAACAGATGTGTATCACATCTGTTGAGACTAGTGCGAGAATTCGCGCCGAGTAATTTTGATGACGTATTCATCCATAGTCGGGATATGGATGGAAAGTCGGATGTTGAGGTTCACAGGTACCACGTCCGACAGGTTCTTACAATCATGCGAAAGCATCAATTGTATGCAAACCCCAAGAAGTGTTTATTTGCAGCAAGCGAAATACCACTTCTTGGGTGCATCGTTGGCAAGAACGGTGTACGTACTGATCCCGAAAAGATCGAGGCGATCACCGACTGGCCTGTGCCGGTTGATATCAAAGGTCTTCGAAAATTTCTTGGGCTAGCGGCGCATTTGCATAAGTATTCACGAAATTACGCCGAAATGACTGTACACCTCTCTCGTTTGTTGAAAAAGAACGATAGATGGTTATGGAACGCTGAATGTCAGCGCTCCTTTGATGGTATCAAGCAGAGATTGATACAATCCTCAGTCCTAGCAATGGTCGATCAGAACAGGCCATTTCATGTGGTCTGTGATGCCAGCTATTTCGCAATCGGCTGTGCATTAATGTAGTACGATCTTGAAGGCGTTGAACGCGTCGTCTGCTATCAGTCGCGTCAGCTGCAACCAGCTGAGCGGAACTATCCAGTGCATGACAAGGAACTCCTTGCCATGAAGTATGCACTCGCGAAGTTCAGAGTCTAGCTATTAGGAAATAGACCCTTCGTTGTTTATACTGACCATGCGTCGTTACGCACGGCAGTAAACAGCCCGCACCTTTCAAAACGAATGGCGCGGTGGTTGTCATTCTTTGCAGAATACAACTTTACGGTCTAGTACAAACCAGGACGACTTAATGTCGTCGCTGAGGCACTCTCACGTCGGCCCGACTTTGAAGCAGTCGCGAAACCCAACAGTGAGACATCCACTGTTGCGGTATGACGTCCTCAATACCATCGTCAACGTTACATGATGATGTGAGGCGGGCGTAATCCCACGGTGGTGAGATTGTGAAGTTGTTAACACATCTCTCACAACCATTTTGAGAATCGTTGAAACGATTATCGTCTACGTATCAATCTGCATCAGATCGATACACTACTCGCAACGGTTTACTGTTTTATACATCCGTTACTGGTGACTAACCACGTGTTGTCATCCCAGATGATACTGATCTGCGTTTGCCGATCATGTTCGAGTATCACGATGCTGCTATAGGAGGACATCGTGGCCGTGAGAAAACTTATCTCACGGTGAGTCGAGACTTTTACTGGCCCCGCAAGTATCGGTGTGTGCGAAAGTATGTTCACGCATGCGAAGTCTGTCAACGAGTGAAGTTAAGTCCTTCACTGCGTGCACCTTTACAGCCTCTACCAGTTCCGGCTGAGTGCTAGGAATCCATGTCAATGAATTTCGTCTTCGGGTTACCCAAAGACGCACGCGGGAATACGGGTATTCTCGTATTTGTTGACAGATTCAGCAAAATGGTACACCTTGTGGCTGTACCAGAGTCAATCACGGCAAGTGGCTGTGCTTGTGTCTTTACTGACACCATCTTCCGACTCCATGGGTTGCCCCGTGAACTCGTATCAGACAGAGATCCACGATTCACTGCTGATTTCTGGCGTTCCGTGTTCAAATCACTCGGAACGCGCTTGAAGATGTCTACATCTGATCATCCAGAGTCAGATGGTCAGAAGGAACGATCCAATCGTGTCCTTGAAGAGATACTTCGAGGATACGTACACTCCTTTAAGAGTTGGAGTGAGTTTTTGCCAATGGTAGAGTTTGCCATTAACAACTCGGTGCATGCGTCCACGACACACACACCGTTTTACGTGAATGGCTTACGCCATCCGCGTGTACCCATCTTACTAGAGTGTAACTCTGGTTTAAGGAGGGGAGGGACTCGCGCGAGCAAAAACCGATTTGGTTCACGCTCATCACGCTCTGACGAAGAGGTCATTGCGTTTGATGCCGATATCGATAACATCGATATCGAAGAAGATGATGCCAGTGAGAGTGCGGAAGCCCTCACTGAAGAAAAGGTTGATGATGCTGCAGTGCGCTCACAGCGCACTGAAGCTAACGAGTCATCAGATGAGTTCATCCTGGCTCGTGAAACGGTAGTCCGTTTTGTGCAAGACTCCATCGCCGAAGCGGTGGATAAGCAAAAGCAAAACGCTGACAAGAATGGAAGGGCAAACACTCTTTTATTTAATAAAGGTAACTTAGTCCTACTGTCTACGGTTAACCTACCAAAGCATGTGGTAACTAACTTGGGTATTAGTAAACTACTATCCTAGTACATCGGCCCATTTCGTGTATCGCACTGCCTAGGCAATGCATACACGATCGAGTTGCCACGTAAGATGCGAACGCATCCCACGTTTTACGTTGGTCGGCTTAAGCCGTACCATCAGTACGCTGCTTATTCCGATGAAGAACGCCCTTGCGCTCAAGCATCTCGCAGAGAGCCTTGTGCTCCCGATGGAAACAGCGAAAAGGGTCTGAAGAGCAGTTATCTCATCCCGAGACCGATCAATAATCCCACGAGCTACCCTTAGCTCGTCACGAAGGGATGTCAGAGCTCTCTCGTTCTCAAGCTGAGCAAAGGAAAACTCAGCTCGATGCTTCGAGACAGCGTCCGCCAGTTAAAAACGCCTGTCCCGCTCATGTTCGAGATCGCCGCGTAACCCTTGCGTTACGCGATCAAAGAAGCTCTCGGGAACACACGCTTCCCCACGATTGTGTGGAGAGCGTCTTCCCTCCTCCTCCACCTCCATTAGAGGACTCTTGCGGTGGCCAGCGCTATCTGGTTGAGCAGCTGTTGAACCACCGCGACGTGAACGGACGTCGGACGAGTTATCTCGTCCGGTGGCACGGCTATCCCCCGTCCTGGGATACTTATGAGCCCGCTCCCAACTGATGATCGACGTACTGGATCTGGCTGAGCAGTACGACGCGGCCTATCCTGTGCCGCAGAAGGGCCGCCGGAGAAATTCTTCCCAGCACGGTCACTTAGGAATTTCAGGTTTTCAATCCCTTCGTACATCTCACTAGAGATATGTACGCGCCACCACGGGCTATTAGGGAGGTAAGCCTCCTTAGGTGTTCGCGCAGAGTTGTTCACACAACATGGGCACGAGTCTCCCCAGGAGAGGCAGGGTAACCATTTCTCCCTAGACAGACGATGCAGCTTGTAGCGTGCACCTGTCGGGGTTCGCTTTTCAAACTTATCACGAGCTTTGATAAGTTTGTCGTTCCAAGCGTCACGACCTACATCCTCAAGGTTATGGATGTAGGCGTTCCACGCTTGAAGTAGAGAGGTACCATCACGCTTGTGATTCCCACTGTACCATCGATGTCTAAAGAAAGCATCGATGAAGAATTCATTCTCAGCGCGACAGTTTTTCGCGCTGGGGTCAAGGTGATGGATCCTTGACGAATCGAACAACCGTGTTCGATAACGATCACTCGTCGTCGCCGACAAGTGATCCATGACGGATTTTGGAGGTATCCATGCCTTCTTCTCGGGAGCGAGACGCAACACATTGTGGTCCCGCTCTTCCTGCGACGTGCCGACAGAAGGACTGGCACATCGTTGCGAAGTGGTGTCCATAGGAGAACCGACACCACTTTGAGCGCCCGAGTCTCGCGACCTCGAGCGCCTTCGCTTCGGCGATGGTTCATCTGATTCATCAGATGAACCAAAGATGCTGCGACGCATAGCATCATCCATGCCACGCTTGGCAGGCGGCTTGGATTCAATCGCCGTCGATACGGATCCGTCTTCCGTATCAGGAGAGTATGAGACACCGAGCTCATACTCTGTCAAGACACGAGTGTCTTCATGACCAGCGCCTGCATCACCAAGTGACACAGGCTGAGTCGCTTCAGCAACCGATGAGACATCAGTTGCTGTGGTTTCTGCTTCGGCGTCCGCACAGGGACGTGCGGATGCGCTCTCGGCGGCCTTGCTCACGCATCGCATGGGCTTGTTAACCATGCGATGAACTATTGGAAAGTGAACTCGGGCCTACAAGTGCAAACCCTGTCCCAAATGATTTGGGACGAGTATCCATTTAGTCAATCAGTCACTAAAGTGACTGATGGTTTAGGGGGGATGTAACGGGGTGAATCGTTACATAACAATTTATAAGGAATTGTTAATAGAATATAACTATAAGAGTTTTATTCTCAGAATATTGCCATAAGGACAAATATTCTGCAGCACTTACGAGTAGTTCCTAATTGGTTGATATAGGCCATTAAATCAACCAACGAAGACGCGCCACAACAGACGCACGCAATGAGTGGTGAGCAGATAGTTGATATACACATTTGTATCTAGACATAATTAGATGAAGATAAATAGTGATTTATTACAGACATTAACTATGATAAATACAGTTCTACTTTTTACTCCAACCAAGTACTCGCTTATTCTTACCGTCTTCCTCTGCACGTACGAGTGTGCGTGAAGTTCCGAGGCACCGCCTTATTCTGTCATCAGAATAAGTAGCTTGTAATGTCACCAGTACAAGCTTCAGGGTGCCCCTTACACTTGCTGCTCTATCCGCAGCAACGACGCGTTTAGTGGTGTGTGATGCCACTTAACTCTCGCATGGCTCGTCGGACGCGCTCGTACGACCATTTAAGAAGGCGAGGACACGTGACTAGCCGTAGCTTCCCATCCCCTATGATACGCAGGTATCAGTACTTAACATTAGGAACTACACGACACACATTAAACTCATACACATATGAATGATAATGAGTAGGAAAAGTATTGATTGCTTGGCACATATGTATTGTCTTTGAATTGCGTTTCCTTCGGCTGCGATTTGTATGAACCGAAAAGCGCATGACTTGAAACTGATCACTGGAGAATGTCACAAAATCATATGTTACGGTTGTCATTGTTACAAGACATGTTTGACAACATTTTGATGACTTACCGTAATTTCCATCTATCGCCTTCTCCTGTACTTCTTTTAGCCTATCGACCGACATGCGCGAGAGGCCTGCACGAGACCCCTCCACACCCGCGCAGTTCGGGGCGAAGCAATAGATGAACTCTGATAAATGTGGGTAGTTTTGATATGAGGTGGGAGGGGGCGGTATCTCTCAATTATCCAACTGAAGGTTGAGTAATGGAAGGAAAAAGGTGTGGTATGATGGTTTGGCGTGGTTCACATCAATTTGTGATGAAGTGGTTCTGGTCTTACTATTGGTTTTGGTGCTTTGACTTCTGCTGGTAGTTGGTGCTGGTATTGAGACTTGCTTACTAGATGGCCGATAGGGTAGAATCTACTACACAAATAGCTCATGTGTATCGAGGTCACACGTCCGTTTTCGAACTGAAGGGATTTGTGTATACCGTTTATGTAATTTACAATCCAAAGTTTTATCTATAATAATTAATTAGAATGAAAAAATAAGTCATTCATTAACGACAGATTGACGTACCTACCACTAATCTGTAATGGACTGAATATCACTATGCGAATTAGTTAAGCTTTGTTTTTAGGTAGTAGAATAATTTTTATTACTGATAAACACAAATCATTTTTTTAGTTTCCGTTTTGATCGATAGTTGCCACGTGTCAACTATAGACATTGGCAGATCACATTGATTCAGAGCCATCTTTTACCGTAATCTCTTGAGAATCTTCTGTGCGCAGTTTTTGAAAGTTATTACCAGTCTTTTTAATAGGGATAGAAGCTCTTCGAGCCATAAACCTCTAATAGTCTGTGTTGACCAATTTTAAAGAATTGAAAGTTTCCGTAAATATAAAGGCACTTCGTTGCGCAGTATAAATTGAGTTGTAACCTTAATTCTTGCTCTGAGTAAGATTTTTTAAGCCCCTCTGCACTTGGTAGCACCTTTTTATTATTTTATGTGCGTCGATTCACTAGAGATAGTCAACAATTGAGGCGGCTGTTAGTTTTTATGTGAAATTGATTTATCTATCTCCGCCACACTCTCCACTCATCAAGTCCTGATAGCGGTCTTCATCTGTAATCGCATAGACATAAATAACATTGAGCAAATGTGACGAAGTGTACTTCACATTTAATTTCTACTGTCTTGTACGGACCTGTGCTTGGTATTTTTATCGTTGTTATTCCTTGTTGATGCTTTGTTTGCTAGTTTGATTACTAAAGCCTTCTCCTAGATATAATCTGCAGGTATAATCCAGCCATCTTACCGTGATATAACTCCGCTGTGCGGCAATATTACCGACAGGTAAGGACGATACTTATACGTAATCTCAGGTAAACGGATTGACAAAATGAAGTTGAAGAATTGGATGTATATGCAGAGAAAAATCAGGTGATGTTCGAAAGGACTTGAACATGGTAGTAGGAGATTGGACGGGGACTCAAACGGCAATGACATTTACAACATTTGATACGATAACCTTAAAGATGATGCTAGCAGAAATACAATTAAGACAAATACAGAACCAACGAAGGTAACGACCACAAATACAACAAAAATGACATTAAACACAATGACGCCGGCCAATAGGACCATCAACATGAAATTAAAAACCAAGAAGGCTAAAATGTACGAATGTAACATTATTGCAATAGCTTATTCTTTGTTCCATTCAATTTGCCATTGTCTTCGTCTGGTTTCAGTCGCAGCCGCAGAAGTAGAGAAAATAACAAAAGACGCATCGCCGTCGCACGGCGTGGGACGCACATAAAGACCGAGCTGCATGCGCTGACCTACCTTTCGTCTTTCTGCGATGTAGGGTCTCAACAGTGCTCCTATTTAATGTTGATCTTTTTTTCGTGCACTTAAATTTTCACCATGTTGTTAAACGTACCGCATGGATCGGTAGGAACTACTCCATCTGCATAGAGTCAATTTATCCACGTTTTCATTATCAGCTGTGACGGTGCCGAGATCACGAGATGCCGCTGTGATGTGGCATTGTGGAACGCCGAAACGGTGTCTATTGAATTGAACTGCACTGGAACGTCTTCATTGGGCCCCGAGATGACGCCAATGGCTTCTTCCGTTTATCAAGCGTCTCTTCCGTTCAGTAAGACAGCAGGAAGTCCTTTTGCTGCACGATAACAGGCAATTTCACGTCTCCACTGCTGACCGCACTTTTTCTCCTTGCATGACCTCTCCCATCACGCCATCAAAGGCTGCAACTGTACATCCAGATTACACTTTGCATTGCAGCCAGCTTTTGTATCCATGTAGGTACCCTATAAACCTACTGTGCCGTCTGCCTTATCTTCTCCTAATCGAGTCTCAACTCTCTATGAGGCGCTGGTAAATTTGTCGCTCGACACAAGACCTTCCTCCAAAAAAATGGAGCGTGTCCTTGCCAAAATGTCTTGTTGATCATAAAATAAGATCATATTGCCAACTTGTGACCCGTGTATATCGAGCAAGTGGCACTACGTTTTCCATAGAAAAACCGTCCTGATCAGCACAATAACAATCTTCGTCTACACCATTATACACGTCCGCCTTTTTTAAGCAGCTGCGATACTGATGCACTATGCAGTGACGTTTTCATTGCAAACGTAGTTGTCTTGATTCGGCAGGTTAATTGTAGAGAAAAAGCGTGCTTCGCTCGCTCTTTTAAATCCTGTAAGTGTGCCACTTTCGGGTCGGTATATTTGCAGATGAGGCATTACAAGTAAACCTTCTTCCATGGTGTTTATTAACTTCTTTTTTTAATGTATATTAATTTAGCTATTTTAAAATGCCCATGATTGATGCTCAGAAGCTGCCTTAATTTTAAAATCTTTGGTCGATTGATGAGCATAAAACATTATAAAGATAAGACTTTGTGCCATTTGTGTAGTACCTTCTACAGTTTCTGTTAGCTAGTCGGTTAGTTTTCTCGTCAATCCCTTCCCGCGTGTGGATGCGTAGCCGTACGCGAACTCTTTTAAATTTGAGGTTTGCATTCAGAGAAGGGCTGTCCTTAAACGAATGTCACTTTAACGACCTTTCTACCACACTCTGTAAACTAACCTTCCAGGTATTCACCTGTTGCTAAGAGGCATTAAGTAGGGAATTTAGAAATACTCACACATAGGTAGAGCAGATTCTGCTGTACAATCGTTAATTTTAAACATGTCAGTGCAGGAAATTCTGCTCCCTATCAGGATATCGCTGCTACCAGCGTCTAGTTAGGAATATGCTGCATGCAAACAGCAACCTTTTGCATCACTTAATAATGAGCTGTATCAGAGTTTTTTTTTAAAATGGTCGCAAAACTGGAACGTGGCTTGAGTGTCGCGAATCGCGTTCTGTGAAATACACAAGCGCAGCAGTCATATTTACAGTGATCTTGATTTCTGTTTCTCACTTTATGAAAACTTATCTTTAAGGCGCACTCTGTCATGATAATGGCCTTTATTATGCACAAGCGTTGGCTAAGTGTGCCTTAATTGTCCATCTTCATTGTACCTGAAGAAGCTAAGTCTGCGACTTGCTGACGCAAGAATCCAGATGTCGAGTGATACGTTTCAATGTTGGTGCACCCATCGTCTTCAACATCGTCAATGTCGAACTCTAATTGAATATTTACGACTCCACCCAGCAGGAAAGTTCCATTTTGTGGATGGTTCACAAGGATGTATGCGCGGCAAGGCACACTATTTACAGTAAAAGTAAATACGGCACTGGTATTAAACATGGGAGTAGTCATTCAACATATATCCAGCAGCATCAGCACGGATCGACTAAAACGTTCTTTGGCTGTTAGACAGTAAATTTCCTTTGGTTAAACATGCCGCAATCTCACGTCACATCTGTTTCTAGGTATGGAAGTCTCGATCGATCGTAGATAAAGGCTCGTTCCATATTCAAGAATGATCTTATATGCGTGCGGGAAACCACTAAGCTGGTCGATCGTTGCGCCATCTACTAAAATAGACTGGACCCCGGGGATTGGAGATTTAAAAGGGATAGCCCACTGATACAAATGTTCGGTCGTTTGAACCTTCTTG